AAGGAGGACGTGGAAGACGTGGATGAGGTTGACGAGGAGCCGAACACGTGGTTACAAGAAACCGCCTCGTGCACGAACTCGTATCGCAGTACAAAGCTTATCGGATAAAGTGCACTTCCTTGACGCAGTATGTGCTCCAGGGTGAGGTCTCTGCCGCTGGAAACGTAACTCTCAGCGAGGCTGCAAGGCCTCGCGTGACGACTTCCGTTCCGCAACAAGCTGTGGTCGCAGAGACGTGGTGTGTCGTCTTTGCAGAACTGGCCCATCAGGGTAATATTCTGAAAATTATAAACGCTAGCTTACTTATATACAATATATAATTTACATTTAATATAATTTATAATAAATTAATAATATAATAATATTAATAATTATAATAATAAATAATATAATAATTTATATACAATTTATATACAATAACTTATTTAAACAAGTCTCCTAGATTTATTTATCTCTCTTATATTTTTAGATATCAATAAAGCTAGAAGAAAATTGTATTATTTTATATCTTTACAAAAATAAATGTTTTTTTTGAGTTACAATCAGTTTTGAAAATATTGGAATGATGAAATTTATCACAGAATTAGATGATATTTTATTGAAAAAAGGCCTGGGCATTCGAAGGTGTATCGTACCTTACGTATAGGAATTAATTTATCTAGCGTGCGATCGCCGTCCCAAATGAAAAGTTTCGCATTGCAGTCGGAGGCAACGTCGATACTCGCGGCGGCGTCGGCACTGGCAGCATAATACTTGACGAAAGACAACCAAACGATCTCGTTCGGTTTCCCTTGGAAATGATATCGACAAGTTGTGTTCGGAGGCAGGGAATGTTTCGGGTTTTCCAAGATGCCCGACGAACTTTCGTCGCTCGATATATAAAAGTCACAATTGTTGTTCTCCTTGACGAAGCTACGGGATTTCTCGTCCACGAACAACACCTTTGAATAAATGATAGACAATATAATAATAGATATATAATATAATATAATAATATAATAAATAATATAATAATATAAAAATATAATAATAGATATATAATATAATATAATAACTATATAATAGTTAGATATATAATAAATATAATAACAGATAGAATAAAAAAATTTATTATTATTATTATTACAGAAAATGTAATTAAGAAAATTACCTGAACCTCGAGCTCGAAACCGGGCAAAAACGACAAAGGAACGGGATGAAAGGGATTGTCGTACGGTGACGTGTGAAACTCGAGAAGCATCGTGTTGTGACTGCTCACTATATCTGGCACCGCGTCACCTCCACAAAGTCGTACAAGCACCTTATCGGAGGTTGAGCCGCCGTCGTAAACCGTCAAGTAATCTTGCACAACGTTGCATTGATCCCAAACTCTGAAAACGTGTACAAGTAAAATAATCCATCCAAATTAATTCGATCTTAAATCTTGGGAAAAAATTGATTATCTTTTTTCTTAAAAACTTCGTTGCACATTACATATAATATATAATATATAGAATAACAAAAAAGAGGAAGAGTTGAAATTGTCGATTAATTATAATTTCCATAGCTTTTTCTTCGTGTTTCAGAAAGATGTTACGATAAAAAAGCTACTACCTTAATATCCTTTGGCTACCATCGTACTTGACGACCTGGTCTTTGATGTGTATCTTGTGGCTATTCCGCTGACTCACTGCGAGCAACGCCCGATGACCTGGTGGTGCACGATTTTGCTCCACACGGTAATAGCAAGTGACGTTTCTCGGGTAAACACCCGGGTAATTCGGCGATTGAAGTCGACAGGCTCGCGTGTCGCACTTGGTGAGAACACGATCGCAATACGTCCCGTTCACTAGCTCCCCCCGCCACGTGGACATGCTACTGTTCCCGTACCTGAGGTGGGCCTCGCTTCGTCTCAGAAACTTGTACGACAACTTGAAGTCGAAATTATAACCGCTACCCTGTTAACAATTAAATATAAAATGATAATATAAAACATATAATAAATATAATAAGAAATATAAATATAATAAAATATAATAAATATAATAAGAAATATA